GTGTGTGGCTTAAAAAGTGACCCTTTTACATTAAACATGTGTTGTAGTAGGATATTTCTGGTGTTACATTTCCTATGCATGTATGAAGTTTTATTTAATTATTTGTACAGTATTGTTTGCAGCATTTGCTAAATGATTCTTTGTGTCCTGATTTTTTTTTTTTGATTTACTGTGATCTCATATGTTGATCTAAAAATATCTCTAAAATATTCCATATGTGCCTGAAGTTGCATAACAGAGCAAAAGAAAACCAGGAGTCTGACATCGGGGGAGTAGAGTTGAGGAATGGAACTGGAGGAAAGATGCCACTTCAGCAGATCACTGAGTGATGGAGCTACATTTTGGCACAGTAAATGAACTCACTGCATTTGGACAGCAGTGCTGTGATGGTCATTCTGTTGACAGTTTTGTTTCTTGTGTTTATCTCACTGACCTTGTGTGAAGGAGACAACTGAGCGCCTCCACCCGAGCAGTGTGCCAAACCTCTCGGCCGTGGTTGTTTTGACCACTGCTCATCCTGCAGACCCGATAAAACAGGAGGCAGCATGCTATTAACCTTCTCACCCTCAGCCAGTTGCTCCCTGGTCCCTGACACCTCATACTTCACTTTCCGTAATTGTGTCGTCTTCCTGGCGTGTGCCTCTTTTGCATAGATGAGGGAAGAACAAGATAGAAAAAAAGAGGATGATCAAAGTGCGTAGTGTAGCAGTGTGGCACGCATCAGTTGCCAAGTTTTTCTGACCTCGTCTTTAAATCAGGCTCCATCTACAGTTTACTAGTGTTGTCTAGAAGTTTGGATAGTTGTAGTTGCTTCATGATAGCACCTGCTCTATGATTTCAAATGGTCTGGCACCACGTTTACTTATCTTTGTAAATGTACTTTTAAAGTTGTGTGTTTATGATGTATTATTTAACTCATAGGCATTAGATTTAGTTTATCTCTCATTCAGTTTAGGACATTTTCGCTGTTGCCTGCATCAGAGAAGAGAAACTACTCTTTTTATTGCTGTTGAGAGGAAAGGTGGCTGAACTTCTGTGCCTGATTTTATTTGGGTTTGTAATTCAACTAAATGATGAAATGAGTTCCTCTGAAATGGGAACTCTTTAAAGATTTTATGGCCCTTCAAAGTCTGTTTGTCTTTTCCCAAATACAATCTTGAATGTGTTTCAGCTGTGTCATGCCAGAAAAAAAGCTGACTTTAGAGGGAGAAGCCATTCTCTCTGTCTCTTTGTCCAGTCATCTTCAGTAATAGCTGCTGCCCCAGTTATATCTGGCCTGCGCCGGCCTGACCAGGCATAAAAGTCTCGTCACAGTATAAGAATGCAGCTCCTTCCTGACCAGGCAAAGCCTCTGTGTGTGTGTGTGTGTGTGTGTGTTTTCTCATTAGTGCTGCTCCTCGGTCACTCTGCTGTTGCGATGCTTTGCAGGTCAGACTGCAGATCCAGTGTCAGTGGCCGAGTAGGTGGGATAATGCATTTGGGTGACAGTTACTGTAGTCATGCCAGGGTGCAGCACATGGTGAGTTGCAGAGGGTTTAGCTGGAACGCAGCAGTGTGTAGAGCACATGTGTCCCAGTGTTCCTTTGTTACTAAGGTCTAATTTGGGATTAGATGTTCTTTCTCTCTGCTGTGTGTGTGTGTGTGTGTGTGTGTGTGTGTGTGTGTGTGTGTGTGCAGTACGTGTGCCGTATGAAGGTTATGTTTCCTACATGTTGCACCTGTCGCCCTGCATTGGATTTGTGTGTCAGGTGATCTCTGAATGTACATTATAGCTTGTGTCTGATGCCATCAGTGCTTTCACTTGTGCCCTAAGCTCTGCTTCTATCTGGAAATCTGTTCAGTGTCATTCACTGTTTTTGGTTTCAGACTGTACCACTGCAGCATTTCTGTTATTCATCTTTCAGTCTGATCCTTTAAATGTTGAACATCACTTCTTCATCCATTCTGAGGACTCTCCTCAGAAACGTGGCCTTGTGTATTTATGTCCACATTGCATTCTGTGTTTGACTGAATAGCAAATGACATTGTTGTATGTCTAAACAAATAACATAAGCATATTGTCTCTGTGTACACATGGTTATGTGTAGTTAAATATAAAACGTTAACATCATTTGCAAAAAGCATTGCAGCCCGTCTGAGGTTTCTCTGCTGCAGAAAAGGAGGGCATATTCCGAAACCATCAAGACACTCAATCTGTTTCAAATTGTTTATTCACAAGGAAACAATGCACACCATGTGAAGACACTTGTCTTCTCAATGAGAATCATAAGCAGATAATGTTGCATGAAAATATTTTTAAAGCCTTAGTAGTGTGTTGTTGCATAAAATATGCCACGTTTTAATAAAAAGAATTAGGGATGGATGCACGAATCAGCATTTTACGTAACTTTTGTTTTATTTATTTTATTGAAGTGCCCCTTTTGTAATGTCCTTACTGGATACTGCGTGAACCCTGAAGCTACAGTAGACAATCTTTGGACAGTCCACATGTTGTGTGTAAAGTGATATCAGTAGTCTGTCTGGATGCAGTGGTCCCTCAGTAAAGTGAAGCTTATCAGTCGCTGAACTCTTCAAGGTGTTTCTGAACCTGCACCAGCCTTCGAGTGTCCCTCTGCAGACCCGCAGGCGAGATGACAACTTAAAGGAAACAATTTCTTCTCAGCAAAACACCTCTGTGTGCTCTCTGCATGTTGCTCTCTCTTACAGTCAGTCACTGTCTCACACATGCATACACTCCTGTGGACACACACACACACAAATGCAGTATACACAGGATGTTAAATCTCCTGTCATCTTCTGAGCGCTGCAGTCCCAAAATGGCTTATCTCTTTTTTTTTTTGACAACAATGAATGGCATAGCTGGAATAGTTTAAAACAGGATCACAGTTATCCACACTTGTCCTTGGGTCCTGTCTGGCCTGAGTGTGTATACATACACACAAACACCTCACCACAATGCAGGTTTAACAGATTTCCTGTGAGCTATTGTATCTGCTGGAAGATCGTAGCATCCTGGTCCAAACCTCCAGGATGAGCAGGCCAACCCCCCTCTCCCCCTTTTTCCTTTCTTCCTTTCTTCCTTCCTTCTCTTCTTCACCTCTCTCTTCTCCTGCTCCGTCTCTGCTCCTTCTCCTCTTCTGTCCCTGATATGATGCTTTGTCAGTATATTTGTCTTTGGATGTGTCAACTTTACATCAGTCCACCCCTCCTCTCCCAGTCTTTTTTTTTGCTCCAGGTGTCCTGTGATCCACTATGTAACCCCTGAGGAGCAGTTTGAACAGTTTTCAAAGTCAGGTCGATTGTGCCTCCAGCAAAAACAGAGAGGCCAGACACAAATGCTCGACTCTGACCAAGTGCCTACTTGCCTTCCATATTTTGACCCTCTGCTCTCTTATGTGTCATAATAATTTATCAATTTCTCAATACCCCTTATTAACCTGCCATTTAGCTTGTTTTATGATAGTGGATTGTCATTTCCCTGTATGAACCCATATTGCAGTGGGTGCTTTTGTTATTGGCTTGTAGAATCAAAGGTTTATGTGAAAGCAAACTTTTGTCAGTTGTGTTGGAGCATGAGGGGACATATCTGAAACTGGTCTCCATCTGTGAAATCAGTTTACTGATAAACTCCATGTCTAACAGTATCAGACAAAGCTTGTTTTCCACACCTCACAGATGTTTTGTGTTGTTTCAGGATTGGTTATGACTCACACTGTTGCTTTGAGACAGAAAAAGAAAAGCCTTATTTAAAATGTTGTTTATAACGATAACAATATCGCTGAGTTTTTTTACACACAATTAGCTAAAAATGGCTCGGCTCTGTTGTGCATCTGTAATTGTTGATTTGTGTGATCTTTAAATCCTCAGTAAAGAGAGTGTTTGGAAAGTATAAATGATAGGTTATTCCAAGAAGATTTTGGACTTTACTTATTCATGGAGACTTCAGAATGCAGTCTGTTGTATCAGAGCTCAGCCAGTAAGTTCAGACAGTCAGAGTTTAGACAAAGATCTATTTACAGGGATCACTTATTATGGTTTACTAACATATTGTTTTCTTTTGCTAATGAATAAAATACCACTGATGGCAATATGTATAAATATTTGATATTGGTATCCATTTTAACCTTAATTTCACCTACTGTGCTAAAGTTAATCAGCTGCTATGCTGCGTAGTTTCCTGGCTTTGCAGGTATTTTTCCATGAATCTTACTTAAGGTGTTTCCATTTCTGACAGTTAATTAGCTCAGGCAGTTTGACCTGGGACCTTCGCTGATGGCTTTCAAAGACAATAAATACTGAACGTGCCATTTCCCACTCTGACAAAACAGATGTAATAGCTGCAGTGAAACAGGACATCCTGTCTGTGCTCTCTATGGAGGCATTAGGATTAGCTACAGCAATATGCTGTCCTGTCCATTTAAGGTTTGAACGGGTTACCGGTTAAGCAGGCTCTTAACTATCTTCAACAGTCTTACTGAAATCGTCTCTGACATGATTAGAGTTTAAATGAAAGCAGTACGGTATATGTCCTCTTCACAGCAGATGATTCATCACACAGATTTCTTACCACTGTTTCAGCCACTGTAACACTGTGCATATTCGACCATGTTGTGTGATTTATCCCCTGATATTCTCATGCAATGGCATTTTATTGAATGTGTTTTCAGTTCTGCCAGCCTGGAGGTTGGAGGCTGTCCAGGGAAAGGAAAGCACCCACTTTCTTCACCGTTGTGCTGACAGATATCGACTCTGACCGACACTTCTGCTCCTGCCTCACTTTCTACGAGGCCGAGGTCAATCTGCAGGTAAGACGGCAACACACACATTGATACACTTGAAGGTGAGTATATGCTAGGTAGGGGTGTAACGGTTTACCAAATCCACATTTTCCACCCTCCTAAAATTTTTTTTATTTATTTTTTGCAGCACTAAAGAGAAGAACGCAGTTTAATAAGGCTCATGTAATAAGCAGAGGTTAAGCAGAGCTTTGCTTTTTGGGTATCCACTGTCATATTACCATATCAGAA